TCTTGAAAGCCAGATTCTACTCCTTCCCTCTCACTCCAGATGGCCCCTGTGGAAATGCAGGAAACAGAGCGACCTCTTGTGGCATTACCCCTCATTGCCTTCCCCAGCTCTCAAAGGATCATCAGACATGCCCATTCCACACTTCAGTTTTGTGCCTCCATTGAATATTGATTTTGCTCACACTCTGTATGGATTTTCTGGTTGTTTTTTTTAAAAAAAAATTTATTTGGGGAGGGGCAGGTGGCTACTGATGCTGTAGGTTGCAGAATCAAAGTGGTGATTTAAAAGTGGCTGCATATTTGCACGGAAGCAGCCATCTTTAAATAAGCTACAAATTGCAATGTGACAAAATATTCTATGTCCATCCATAAAATAATATTTTTTTACTTGCGTTTGGCCTCCTGCTGCCCCCCAACCAAAATTGGGAAGAATTCTCATATGAACAACCATCTTTTAACAAATTCTCCTATGTCTATTTAATGCATTTCTATACAAAATGGAGCCCTGGACTTTGCCCCTGCCTGTGCCCTAAGACCCCTTTATGAATGTTTTAATCCATCCTCCCTTCTATTTTATAAAACCTCGTGACAATCTTCTGCTGTTAGCAGTGAGAATAGCTGACTGCCATGAAGAAAAACACTATCGTTGCAAAATTGAGATGTGTTGGCTTAATACACTAAATGGAGGATCTTCCTGCTATGAGCTGTATACCTAGAGCAAAGCGTTTGCCTGATTTCATATATTTTTTTTCTCATTAGCGTTGTGTGAATCTTCTACATTTCTGTCACAGATATATTTGCATTCCCTTCATAGCACTTTGGCATCAAAAGCGCCCACACACCGTTTTGAGAATTGTATTCACTGTGTCACCAACTTTCTCTTCAAGAGTTCACTCCGTCCGCAAAAATTGCTCCGTCCAGTTTTATATTGTTCCATCTTTCATCTGGCCATATATCTGGTCTCCTCTTACCAGGACATAACTGCTACCCATGCTATATTTTAGCCTGGCTTGGAACCTCCAGAAACACACATTTATTTCTTCCAAAAAAAAAAAATCTATCCTTTACCCAGACATTGCCTGTACCAGTTCCAATATTGTAGACCCCTCCAGAATAATTGTTCATTGACCTTTTTTTCGTCCAGTAAAGACTTTCTTCCTCTTAATTCAAGACATCGTTGTACCTTTACCCCAGGACAGCACTCCATCTCTCAGAGATTACCCTGGAGACTTCTCTCCTTCTAACAGGTCATTATTTGTTCCAAACAAAGTTGCACACTTTGTGTGGCTGAACACTAACCCATCGTTACGGACATCGTACACTTCATGGACATCGTACACACCATAAATCTTTCTGTCTGGCAGTTTTCCAAAGGCACGCACATGATGTGTCATAAATCCACGTTTGATACCAAAAATCCGCATGTACTCGCACAGAGGAAAGACGGACACAGAGGGAAGTGCTCAGCTTTATTAACATTCACAGCGGTCTCACATAACTTGTGTATCGTCGATTGTTATATTTGAGATAAACATTTGATGCTGGATGTTCTTGTATATTCTGAAGAAAAAAAAGACAAAACAAAAAAGAAAAAAATTTAAGAAAAAAAAAAAAGGTCAAAAAGCCAAAAAATCATACTGGGTTTAATAATGTTTGTTACTAAAAGAAGAAAAATCCCCCCTCCCCAAAAAAAAGTCCTGTTACAGAGATCACACCCTTTTAGCATGCAAATTGGTTGCTGATTTCTATTTTATGTCTTTCATATTTCTTGCTTAGTTTTAACACAAAAAAACAAAACTACCTACATGTGATTTGATTTTATTTTTAACACCACGCGTTTGTGAGTTAACGCAATGCTAGAAAATTGTAGTTGGGCACCTTTTTAGTTTTGTTTTAATTTTTTTAAAGGGTGGGAAGGGGGCGGGCACAAGTTTTGGGGCAGATTTGGGATGGTTTTGGGAGAGGGGTGGGACATTTTCCAGATAATAACCCCTTTACATCCAGAGGAGTCTGTGGATATATATGCTGTATTTGCCCCTCTGGTAGAAAGGGGGGGAAATTAGTAAGGCAGACTCAAAGATTCTGCTAGCTAAACTCATTTTGTAAACTAAAGTAAACAAAAAATATTAAAAAATGTTGGGAAAAAAGTTGGAATAGTCAAACATTAATAGGTACATCATAAAATGTACATTTAATAACTTTTCTGAGATCAGAAATAAAAAATGTTTTTCCTGTTTGCCTTGCTTATTTTCTTCTAAACTGTGCGCATTTTACACACACCTTACAAACTGCTTAAAAAAAAAAGTTTACTGTGGCTTTATATTTGATCAGTCAGCTTTGCTTCCAGTTTGGCTGCTTAGGCCTTATAGGCACACGATAGTCACCAAAACAACTTTAAGTTAATCGATCCGTTTTGGTGTCATAGATCATGCTCCTACAGCTTCACTGCTCGGTTCTCAGTGCCATTTAGGAGTTAAAAACACTTTATTCCCTTTTTTTTTTATAAATGCAGCCTTAGTCACTCCTGTTAGCATGTGACTTACAGAGCCTTCCCAAATACTTCCTGTAAAGAGTCCTCTAATGTTTACACTTCCTTTATTGAACAGTCCGTTTAACTTAGAAGTTATCTACTGGTCTGTTAATAGCTTGCTAGACCCTACAGGAGCTTCCTGAATGTAATTAAGTTCAATTCACAGAGCAGGAGATAAAAACATTTAAAGTAAGTTATATCTTAATAATATAAACCATTTTGTTTGTATGCAGGCTGTGTGAATGACAGCCAGGGTAGGTGTGGCTAGGACTGCATGGACCGAAATACAAGTGATCTAACCCCTAAATGGCAGTGAATTCAGCAGTGAAACTTAAGAGGCATGAGCTATAAACCAAAACCGTTTTATTAAGCTAAAGTTGTTTTGGTGACTAGTCTCCTTTTAAATTTGAAATTCACTATCAATTCTTACTATGGTTAATAAGATATGGTAAGATATAGCAGTATCGTGTTCAGTACTATGTAGGATTGTCATACCTGCCAAAGATTCCAGGAAACAAATAATTTCTTAATGTGCTGCCAATGTATATAGTATAAGTGATATGTGTAAAGGACAACCTGGTGCAAGAGGAAATGCTAGTACTATATCAAGTGATTGAATGATGTTTTTACTGTTCATTTGGAGAGAGATAGAAGAGTTCATATGCAATTCTACTATACAAAAGAAGTGAAAATAAAGGTTGCGCAACAGGAATATGGACAATATAAGTAAAATGACACAGATAAACATAAAAAGAAAAACAGATGAGTAGAGAACCAGAATAAATGTGAAGAACAATGAGATAATAAATATCAATGGATTAGAGTCCAATATAAAATCCTAGTGCAAATTTGTCAGAGAAACAACCACAATTTTGTCTGAAGAATTCTTTTATGAAGGTGCAAGATCAACTAAATCTTGGACTCTGTATGTGGGAATAGAGAAATAATAATGTTACAGTATATCCCAAAAGAGTAATAATAAAAGAAAGGTCTGATATAGTACTACTCATGTTTTTTAGAGCCTATAAACAGCTCTAGTATGAATAGGGTGCAGTGCTATAATCCCCATTTATGGGATACGTGAAGGAATGTTGTTAGGCAGATGTCAAAGCCCTATAAGAACACCATAAAAAAACAAAAAAAATAGTGCTCACTGTATAGAAGATGCCAGGTGTAGAAATAACAAATGGTTACTCACATTTAATTGAGCAGACAGACTGCTCAGTGTATTGGGTGTGAGTGGTATAATCCCCACCTTGGATTCTTTCGAGTAGTTCTCACTGGAACAATAAAATCAGATGCCAGGCAGTCAAGAATGAAAAAATAAAATCATAGCAAAATAAAAAAGTAAAATGGCACACTGTCTTTGGCAAAACTAGCCAAAATACCTTTATTAGTACACAATATTAAAATATCCACAACACGTTTCACCTACAAGGCTTTCTCAAGTTTATCTCCACTTGAGAACACCTTGTAGGTGAAAAGCGTTGTTCCCACATACATAGCTACATAGCTGAAAAGAGACTTGCGTCCATCAAGTTCAGCCTTCCTCACATATGTTTTTTTGCTGTTGATCCAAAAGAAGGCAAAAAATACAGTCTGAAGCGCAAACTAGGAAAATATTCCTTCTTGACCCCAAAATAGCAGTCAGATGTCTCCTTGGATCAAGCAGCCATTACCCCACTAATTAGAAATTATATCCCTGTATATTATGTTTTTGCAAGTATTTATCCAATTGCAGTTTAAACATCTGTAATGACTCTGACAAGACCACCTCTTCAGGCAGAGAATTCCATATCCTTATTGCTCTTACTGTAAAAAACAAACAAAACAAAAAAACACTTTTCTTTGCCTTAGATTAAATCTCTTTTCTTCCAGCCTAAATGTGTGACCTTGTGTCCTATATATAGCCCTGTTTATGAATAGATTTCCAGATAAAGGTTTGTACTGGCCCCGAATATATTTGTATAATGTTATCATATCCCCTCTCAGGCGCCGTTATTCCAAACTAAAAAGATTTAAATTTTTTAACCTTTCTTCATAACTAAAATGCTCCATTCCTTTTATCAATTTTGTAGCTCGTCTCTGCACTTTTTCTAGTGCCATGATATCTTTCTTTAGAACAGGTGCCCAAAATTGCACAGCATATTCAAGGTGTGGTCTTACCAGTGATTTATAAAGAGGCAAAATTATATTTTCATTCCGAGAATTTATGCCCCTATTTATACATGACAAAACCAACTGCAGATTGACATTGCATATTGCTGCCTAATTTGTGGTCTATAACAATTCCCAAATCCTTCTCGTGTGTGGTTAGTTCACTACCATTAAAGGACCACTCTAGGCACCCAGACCACTTCAGCTTAATTAAGTGGTCTGGGTGCCAGGTCCTTCTAGGGTTAACCCATTTTTTTTATAAACATAGCAGTTTCAGAGAAACTGCTATGTTTATGAATGGGTTAAGCCTTCCCCTTAATCCTCTAGTGGCTGTCTCATTGACAGCCACTAGAGGCGCTTGCGTGCTTCTCACTGTGATTTTCACAGTGAGAGCACGCCAGCGTCCAAAGGAAAGCATTGAGAATGCTTTCCTATGTGACCGGCTGAATGCGCGCGCAGCCAGCCGACGGGGCGGAACGGAGGAGGAGAGCTCCGCCCAGCGCTGGAAAAAGGTAAGTTTTTACCCCTTTCCCCCTTCCAGAGCCTGGCGGGAGGGGGACCCTGAGGTTGGGGGCACCCTCAGGGCACTATAGCGCCAGGAAAACGAGTATGTTTTCCTGGCACTATAGTGGTCCTTTAAGGGTGTAAATATCTTGTGCATACGCATTCCAAGATTTAGTTCATCTGGCCCTCTCATAGAGGAATTCTTCAAACAAAATTGTGGTTGTTTCTCTGGCAAGTTTACACTAGGATTTTATATTGGACTCTTTTATCCATTGATGTATATTATGTCATTGTTCTTCACATTTATTCTGGTTCTCGTCTGGTTTTATTTTTATATATACATCAGTGTTATTTTACTCATATATTGTCCATATTACTGTGGGGCAACCTCTATTTCCATTTCATTTGTATTGCTCGCAGTTTTGTAGGCCTAATAGGGAGCCCTAGCTGTTCTGCTTTTACATTTAAGTTCTGCTCCTTTTCTTGTTTGGTTTATTATCGCTGATCCCTTTGTATTTTTAATTCTACTACCGTATATGTAAATGTGTAAGTGCCAAATCCCATGACCAAGACCTTGTATAATTGCCTTTAAATAAAGTGGGCACTTTGTGTATTTTACTATACCTCCTAAGTGTCCCTGTTTAGGAGGGACAGTCCCTATTTTGGGCTCAAATCCCTCGGTTCCTTTATATCCTAATGTTCCTCATTTCTAGGAGCTCCTATTATTGGTGTGTAACAGAACTCCACAGCAAGAACACTCTTAGTAACATGTCTTTAAAGAATCACTATAGTGTCAGGAAAACAATCTCATTTTCCTGACACTATATAACCCTTAGGTCCCGTTCCCCCACCCCCACCCTCAAGGCCCCCTTCCCGCTGAAGGGTTAAAACCTGGGGGACCTGGCACCCAGACCACTTCATTGAGCTGAAGTGGTCTGGGTGACTATAGTGGTCCTTTAAACTACTATAAATGTGTGTAGAAATCAGTCTGTTGAAATATGATATATTGTTCTATTTTAGTTGTATAAATTATTAGTAAGTTGCCTAAAATGTCTCAGAACAGCCTGCCCCTGGCCCCACAGCCCACTCATAACCCTAGCATTAAAGTGTCCCTCTTTGACTATTTGAAATGTTGGAAGGTGTGATTTTACTACTATCCAAAACTAAACCTCAAAGTCCCACTCTATGGTAATGACTATTGCCCATGTCTATGTGTTCGCCAGTTAAATCCGTAAGATTTGGCACTTAAGAGGTGCTGCAGCCACAGTTATGTTGAGGTGTTATCCAGATGCAGACAAAATTTTATGCAGGTTTAGAAGAAAGCAGTTTCCATTTCTCATCCACAGAATTTCCTTATGATAAACTATGATTTTAAAGGCACAGTAAAGTGTTAAAAATTTAAATATATATATTTTTTTTTTCTTTGAGCTAAAGCGTTTTACTACATTTCCATATCAATTGGTGAAAATAAATGCAGATTATTTTAATTAGAGGATTCTGGGTTTAGTAAATATATGGCAGTGTTGCTTCATGCTGGTTTATGTTGCCATGGTAGCCCAAGTCTGCTTGAAGTAACATTTTATCAACTTCTACAGCCTGAGTATTAGAAGCAGTGCTGGAAATTTTATATGTATATTATAATTTATTGGGGCACTCAAGCACCCAACTATTACAGTATATTGCAGTGGTTATGATGCTGTGGGTGACTTCTCCTGCTTTTCAGTCAAAACTCTATGATGTAGTTTGACACAAAAAAAAACTGACTATCTCCAGTACCCATTGCATTCCCCTTAGGTATCTGCACTGGTAATTCCAAAATTACATTTTAACATAGTTTGAATTTTGCCCAACCCTAAACAGTAAAGATAAGACGAGAAAGCCAAAGGCTGGTTAGAAGCACCATATAATGTAACCATATCATATTTAAAGCAGTTCATACTTTTTTACCTTGTCTAGTATATCAAAGGAAAATTTTGAAACAATGGAGCAAAGGGCCAACATTATGACTGTCCTTCCATATCCAGGACTGTTGGCTGGTATGATGGGGTACAGATACAGGTCAAAGATTTGAGTAAATCTTTCTGTCCTTGTTAATACCTGCAAAAGCTTGAAGAGTGGCTGATGACGTATAATTTATTAATACTACATGTCTAGAATCAGGTGCATAAATCTTCTACATGTCCATTCTGTATTGTTTTAAACATTATATGTGTTCTTTATTCATGGTTTCTGATACCATAGCAATAGAAATCTAGTTCTGCATCAAACATTATACTATTTTAAGGAAAATTATAGTTTTTGCTATATTAATTATGGCACCATACTGCTCAGTCAGGCTCACATTTCATTTTCTTTTTTATATATGATTAGAAAACCATTATACAATATAATGGTGTATCCTGATACAATATTTCTAATCCCACTCTTTGCTTAGTATTGTTAAAGTGAAATAACTTGGAAAAAATGGATTTCTATTTTGTTCCCATTATTGGTGTATAAATATAGGGTTGTAAAACTGTAAATAAAAGATCACCACGTGCCCAAAACAATATACATTGTATGCAAAGGAGAGTAAAGTAATAATCAGAAAGGAAAAATAAACCAGCAGTGTCTGGATTGGTGGCTTATGATCCTTTTCATGGCACCATCCCCCTAAAAATTTAATTTTTATCTTCTCATTTTTTTTTTTTATTTTCAACACAAACATTTACTAAAGTTTGTCCTTTTGATTTATCACACTGTGGAGGGTGTTCTTTTCATGTTTTTTTTTACTTTATAAATCCTAAAAAATGTTTTGTCCTTTACTTTATTATTGGATTAGACCAATCAGAGTATATAGCCGTCATATGCAATAAAGGCTAGTGACGTTGTCACTAGATCATGTGTTCCTACTTCTATGAACATTAAGTGTTGAGGATTCCATATGGTTGTTTTGTTAAGGTGTAAGATATTGTTCTGTAAGTGCACTGTAGATGTTGGCACGAATTATTGGTCCAGTATTTGTCTTGTTTCCTGTTCTGTTTTAAAACTTTTTCTCAGATCACTTTCCAGGTCGTTGTTAGCTTGATCTAGTCCTCAAACGTTTATCTAATTTAAATCTGTGTTATTAAAGCATCAGGCATTGGGCACTTCAATTCTTTAATCCTTGCACAGGAAAACATACAGTACTACTAAGGAAGGCCTGGAATCAGAATTCTACATTTGAGTAGAAGCATGGAGAATATATCACAATAAGGATCAGGTTGAAACTGGGTTCAGGAGCTGGGGATGTCCAATACATCTGAGGTGCTTAATGCAGGAATTGTTGCTGCTTGGTCAGGTTTAATCTGAAGGTTTATTCCTGAAGAATATCAAGCCAGATCTGTTATTTGAAAAATGAATACAGACACGGAAAATAACAGGAACACCAAAAAATACAAGGAGGTCTCTTCCAGCAGACTGGTCTTCACATACAGAGGCATCAGGCTTGATAAACGCTGGCTGGAACTTGACAAATGAGCCTATTTTGTGTATCTAAACTACGTAATGCAGGAATTGCTAACTGGGTATCATTACAACCTCTTCGGTTGCTTGCCTAATTTCTGCATGTGCATGTGCAGTAACGTATACCTAACACTTTAGTGTTGGACTACACGATTAGGTCCCTGGCCCCCTTCAGAATGGAGATAAAAGGTAGCTTTGCTTATCAATGCATCTCTATGGGGAGCGTTCAGCGTCTCTATACAGAGTGTGGAGATACTGAATCTAGTAGCTGCAGACAGTGCAGCACTGACCTAGGAATCCCCTCTTGTGACTGCCACTAGAGGTGTTACTAGGCAGTGTTTTCCTTGCTCAGCCTGGATGGTCAGGCTATAGACACCAGAATCACTACATTAGGCTGTAAAGGTTCTGATGACTACAGTGTCCTTTTTAATTCTTGCAGACAAAACAGGTCCATAGTAACAGTGCGAAAGATGAAAATTCAGACACACATGCCTGTGATGGCAAGTAAATAGAAACTGTTTGTTTCCTTTCTTCTAGCCAAGATAGTACTTTTAGTGGTTTGTAAATAAGTCGGTTATCTCTTTAGTAAATAGGTTGTATCCATTACTATTGTACCATACTCTGGACTATAATATTAAACTTTTGTACAGCTGTGAGGTGGACACTGAGTTTTCTTCGGCAGTTTCTGTCTTAATTTCTTGCACCTTCCCTTGATATTTTTCTTCCTGTCCTTTTATTTTGCTTTCCGATTTTTTTTTCCAACTTTTTTTGATTCAGATTTTTATTTTAAAGGACCACTATAGGCACCCAGACCACTTCAGCTTAATGAAGTGGTCTGGGTGCCAGGTCCAGATAGGATTAACCCTTTTTTCTGTAAACATAGCAGTTTCAGAGAAACTGCTATGTTTACCTATGGGTTAATCCAGCCGCTAGTGGCTGTCTCACTGACAGCCGCTAGAGGGCTTCCGCGCTTCATACTGTGATTTTCACAGTGAGAAGACGCTTGCGTCCATAGGTAAGCATTGAGACTGCTTTCCTATGGACTGGCTGAATGTGCGCGTGGCTCTTGCCGCCCATTCACATTCAGCCGGAGAGGAGGAGGAGAGCTCCCCGCCCGGTGTTGGAGAAAGAGGTAAGTTTAACCCCTTCCTCCCCCTAGAGCCCGGCGGGAGGGGGTGGGGGCACCCTCAGGGAACTATAGTGCCAGGAAAACAAGTATGTTTTCCTGGCACTATAGTGGTCATTTAATCTCTAATTCATCTTAACCTCTCCTGTTCCTTACTCCATAGTAGAACATTTACTCTGTAGGTCTATGAAGTCTTATGCAGTGGTGAAAGTAATGGAGAGAGGGCCCTGGTGCACGAAATGTTTTTGGGCTCCCCACTAGCGTAAGGATGGCAAAAAAAGGTAGATGTTCATCTGTTGTACAACTCCCATGATGCTATGCCAACTGGGGATTTACCGTAGTGGCTCCACCGCTATGATGACTCAGGTCAGAGAGCATGGCAGCCATCTAAAGTCAGTGAGCGTGATGCAGTACTGCCA